AAGAGACAGAACTGCTTAAAAAGAGTAGTTGGGGTGATTGACCTGCAGACTGTGGTGAACAGTCTCCTGTAAAAATACCAGCCACTTGATGATTCTGCAGTGTAAAAATGCCAGCACAAAAGTTTTAACAGTTTTGCCCTTTGAACACATCTGTAAATTGACTTTTTCACACGAACATTTTTCATGAGAACACCTCATTCCTAGAGAGTTTTCTAGTTTTTCTAGAAGCACATTCACCCCTCCCAATTCCAGCGAAGGTGTGAGAGCAGAACCACAAAGGCAGCTTTTCACAGCACATTATGAATGTCATGCCTCTTTGCATGTTCCTTTGAACAGAAAAAAATAAATAAAAAGGCGTTTGCTAACAAAATAAAAAAAACAACAACGAAATGGTGGGAGAAGGATGCTGTAGGACAGCATTTGTAGACAATTCGAAGGAGAAGTATTGGCACTAAGCCCTTTCTTGCCAAAGGGCTTTTGAAGTAGTGCCTCATTTCTTATATTTTTCTGTCCCTCTTTCGAAACACTTCAGAAAGTGTGCTTCAGTGCAAATATACAAGTGAATGAAAAACCTATGAAAAAATTTCAGTTTCTCTCTAGCACGAAATGATAGATACATTTCGGTTATGTTTTTGTTCTGGTCAAAAATATGTTTTTTTTTTTCGTTTTCATTTTGTTCCGACACACGGATTTGTAAAGTGTTCCTTTAAGCACCTTTGAAAATCGCCTGTCTCGCTGATGTACACATGGTCACAGTCCGCACAGGGACTATTGTACATGACATCAGAAAACTTGTTTTTAGGAAGCTTGTCTTTCATGTTTGTAAGCACACTTTTCAACTTTTCACTGCACATGCAACATGTGCACATCAAAGGAGCAGAACAGGTGTGCTAAGGCCTGACTAGTTCAAGGAGCATACGGTATCACGGCACTTTTACGGGGAGCCGACAAGGAAAAGGCACTAATAGGTGGATGATAAAATTGGCTTTACCCTCTTTTCGGGGTAAATTTTTTGCCTTTCTTTTAAATACTATAACCCCATTTCAAAGGTGGGGTTATGTTAACTTTCACATTGTTTACTCTATTTCGCGAAATATAATAGATAAATGCACTGGGGCCACTGTGATGGTTAAAGCTCGTCCAAAATGAATCATCAGGCAAACTTTAAAATCACAATTATGCACAGTTTTTTTTTTCTGTTGGGCTCCTGCTGTCTTCAGATACTCACTCTAAGAAAAAGAGGAAAAACATTGCAACATATAAAGTAATGTTCGAATGAGTAAATATCAAAAACTCATTAGTGAATATTTTAACTATTTCCTTGAAAGGACATGCTTATATGGAAAAGTTGTAGGACATGGTAATTTTTGGCATAAGTTGTTTTTAAAAATCCCCAAAACACAGCAAGTTCAGATATTAATAACCAAAATAGAAGGCTCCGATCTAGTTGATACTGAAACTTAGTGCTCTGAGCATGCAGGAAATGTACCATTTGTGTCGTGTGAGACTGAAAGCTCACGTGATGAACTTTGAAAAAGGTGCGTAGCAGGAGAATCTGTTTTTTCTCCATATAACCCGACTGTGCCACCTATCTGTTGAGTTCAATGTGTCGTGCTTATCCATTTCTTTCGTGCTGTACCCAAGAAAAGCAGATTAAGCCTTTTCTTTCACCATACAGCGGACTTGAAATTAGGTGCACTGGCAGTTATAACTTTCACTTGAGCATCGACATTACTAAAGATGCTAGATTGGATGGTGTACCAAATATGTTCTTCAAGCATTATGCGGAATGGAACGCTTGTTATTTAACCATAATATTTGTAAATTGTTAGAGACATCTACTGTGCCGGCTGTTTGGAAAATCCCCAACATTATTCTAGTGTTTAAATCCGGTAATAAGCAGCTCACTTCCAACTACAGGCATATTTCTTTAACCTGTTGTAAGCTCCTAGAGCACATAATTCATAAGCATATTATTCATATTTTTTATTTTCAGCATTCATTTGAAACAAATGCTAGGACAAAAGCAAAAAAGCCGCTATCATAGCGGCTTGACAAAGGCCCCTGCCCCTACAGAATTTGGCAGCAGGCGAAATATTTACACAAAAAAACCGCAATGCATCGGTATACAGATTATCTATAAAAAAAAAGAAGAACAAACAAATAGATAACCGACATGTGTTTTGAAAATTTATAGCAAAACAAAAACTTCTTTTTTTTACATAGAAAACACGCTTTTTTGGAACAGTACGCAACTTCGCCGAACACACTCATAAATTATATGTCGCATAGAGAAACCATACAGATCTACAGATACATAATAGCATGTAAGATGACTTTCACAAACAACAGAAATAAAAGATGTACCATATACCTAAGAAACAAGCAAGAAAAAGCAAACACATACATGACATACAATTATTCACATATAACTGCACAGCTAAGAAAATATTGCTTTAGCATCCGACGTGAAGTGATATTTAGATTAATGTTTTTCCCCACAAGATCGTTAAGCAACAGTGATATACGGTATGGTACCCAGTCTTTTTTATGATTGGTTCGCAAATCAGTACAGCTCTGACAATAACATATCCTCGCAGAAGCAGCATGGTTTCCGCTCTGGCTTATCTACAACTACTCAACTCATTGAATTTATTCATGGCATTGCATCGACACCGAACAAGCCAGGTCAGGTTGATGCCATACTCATTTAGTAAAGTATTTGATATGGTGTGCCATAGAAAACTTATTAGGCTCAGCAAAATCATTGCTGACAAAAAATACTTAGCTGGATAGCTGATTGGTTACATTTGAGGACCCAATTTCTTACTTTCACTCATGCGCAGTTGTCATCGCAGTTGTCAATGTATTTGGGTCATTTTATGGCTGGAGCACTGTGTGGCAAATGTGTATCAATCACGAAGAGACAGTACAAATGACATTTGCTAATAAAAAGCAGTCACTAGGTTTCAGTTATAGTTACAATAGCACTATTTGAATTCTCTGAATACCTTCAAATATCTTGGCATAATCTAAAGTGGCACCTTCACATTGAAAGCATTTGTGCGAGGGCACTTAAGAAGTTAGGATACTCAAAACAAACTCTCAAGCACTCAACCAGGGACTGTAAATTGACAGTTTATATATCTCTAATCAGGCTATTACTAGAGTATGCCTCAGCGGTATGGTCACCGTACACTGCACTTGACATAAATAGGCTTGGGGGTGATTAAAAAAAGGCAATAAGGTTTTTTTTCCACTGATATGATCACAATTTTCCTTCTTAATCTCACTTATGTGCTTCATTGTTAAAGCCACTGGCTCGTCGATGCACGCTTAAGCGTATCACTTGACATGTGGTGTTTAACGTCCCAAAACCACCATATGATTATGAGAGACGCCGTAGGGGAGGGCTCCGAAAATTTCGACCACCTGGGGTTCTTTAACGTGCACCCAAATCTGAGCACACGGGCCTACAACATTTCTGCCTCCATCGGAAATGCAGCCACCGCAGCCGGGATACGAACCCCGACCTGCGGGTCAGCAGCCGAGTACCTTAGCCACTAGACCACAGCGGCGGGGCGAGCGTATCACTTAGCTGCATAAGGTTTTGCATGGCTATAGTTTCATTCAAGCTCCTATTTCTTTCAGTTATTTCACTAGACGTGCCATGCATCGAACACACCCACTTATTGTTCCTTTTCAGCCATTTGTGAATTCTCTTACGTGTTTTTTTTTCCCAAGCGTTGTCAACATTTATAACAGCCTAGATGGTTCCTTGCGAGAAAAACCACATGAACAGTTGATGAAATAATTGCTGGACTACATATTGTGATACTTTTAATATGCATTGTGTGATTGTTGTTCAATTTACTAACTCATGTACCTGTTTCTGCTATGATTGTCTACCGAGACAGCAGTATTTATAAATAAATAAATAAATAAATAAGACTTGGTGGCAACCATTGCAACGCTACTTTTCACCGACAAGTGAAAGAGTTCTTTGCCATTACTTAGAGTTTAATGAACAAACAGATCGGTACTTTACACTGAATGCAAGAAATAAGCAATCCAATGTGGTGTTTAGGACAACTTAGTTTTTCTGACCAGATTCTGTTTTGGCACACCGTTTTTATCGAACTTCATCACGTGAGCTTTCATTCTGACATAAGAAAGTTGGTGCGTTTTCTACTTGCCCGGAGCTCTCTTTCAATATTTCTTGAATTGGGGCTCTCAATTTTGATGATTAATGTATGAGATTACATGTTTTTCAAGTATTTAAAAAATGGGTATGCATAAGTTGTCATGTCCTTCAGCCTTTTCATAAATAACTGCCCTCAAGCGAATAATTAAATAATTAAAAAATTGAGGAGCTTTTGACAACTGCTCATTTGACTGTAATTTTGTCTGTATTAAAGCTTCCACGCCTCAAGAAAGAGTTCATTCGCAAAAATTACAGAGGCCTGGCAGTCATCAAATTTTTTAAAAATCTGTAGTGAATAAAAAAAAAACAGACTCTGTATAGTTCCATATGGGCTGTCAGCTCATTTCTTGCAAACTTGTGTTACTGTGTATGCAAAAGCATGTATGTCCCTTGCAAGACAAAATTTTGATGACAGTTTGGGTTGCCTTGCCACATAAATCAGAAAAAGAATGCTCACAGCATTATTCTTGCCAAAATTATTATGTATGCATGGGACAGGTTTTTTAGTGCACAACCATGACATCAAAAAGTTGCCATCAACTGTAGTGACCTTCTGAGCTTGTGTTTCGATACAGTTCATTGCATAAGCTTCACTGTATTGCTAAAATGTATTGTTGTTTTTTAACTTAAAATGCCTTTTAGATCCTTGTTAATTATTCTGTGCATTTTTCACTCAAAGCATGTATAAACAGTGGCTGGCATTACATAGCTTACATCATAACACAGTTCAGTACCATGTACAATTTACAAACTCTGAAAATGACTTCACTAAATGTCCCCTATTGATATATTTCAGTTGCCACACTGCATGAAAGGGTGACAAGCCGCAAATCGCCAACGAGAGACCAGCAAGTGTGAACCTGTTACGTTTTGTGGTAAATCCTGCATGATGAACAGCACACGTGCACATGCAGCATGTTGATGACGTGGCATATTCTTCTGCCAAGTCTTGCTTACCCTTGAACTTCATCAAGAACTACAAGCAACATAATATGTGCTTAATGTAAAAGAATTCCTTGCTCTAAAATAAACAACTTGTTTCTCATTCTTGTAAATGTACTGTTAACAGGCAGTGACTGTGCATTATGTGTAGTAATGGAGGCTCTATAGGCACTTCTTTTCTATTTGTTATAGAGGTGATTACTATTTATGTCTATTAATGCAATCCACACTTGCATGTGCCAGAAGCTAAGTTGAACATAATGCAAAGTGTGCTCGCTATGAAAAATTATTCATGACCTTGCATGGCAATAAGTACTCTATAGTACTTATGGTAAAATCTGAAATACCCTGACTGTGGAACATATATCAAACAATAAATAGACCTTATTCTTTATTGCCATTTCCTAGTGACACTCATTTCTCAGAAAAATTGGATATGGACAACCCATTGGTGTTGTGTTGATAGTGTTTTTAATTATGAATTACATGCTCGTTCAAAGCATTTACTGGCTGACACTTTGGTGTGCCTCAATCTTTTGAATGTGCCTCAGTTCCGACAAAATTTATATTAAAAAAAAAAATGGCGAGTATGGCCTTTTTTTGGGCTTTTGAAGTCCATCATCTGTTAAAAAGTGCTTTAATAGCCTTTATTTTAGTGGAGGCTAAAATTTCAGGAAACGAATTTATATGCAGCACGTCACCTGTTATACCACTGCAACAAAATTTATAAGCTCTTGGCATGTGGTTTTCGGATCGCTGAAGAAATGGTATTTTTTGGTGTAAAGTTAAAACCCAATGTGTACCGTTCTCTCTCAGCGACATATTGCCATGAAATCGAGGCAAGTAAGGTTCTAGATTGCTTTCTCAATTAGACTGATTAAGTGTTTCACATTGGCAAGCCATCAATGTTGAAAAGTGGTCTGCACTCTGACATACTTCTTCCATTAGTGAGGAGGCCATAACTGGTCGAGGACACCTTATCGTGTATTCTGTTAAGGTTGCCTCACCAAGGCCTTGCTTGGTGCTTTCTTGAGTTAAGGTAGCACCAGAGCAACCTTTGCGTCTCCCTACCTCGTTACTTGCAGGGCTTCTCTGCAGAACTTTGTCATCAACACTGTGTTCGATTTCGTATTTTTAATTGATGTTTTTACTCCATAATGTCAAAGAACTTGTTTTGTAGAAATTCCAGTGTCAGTGTCGTTGCTTGTGAGCAAAAACTCATCTCGTTTATGACCAAGAAGTCTAGAAAGATGCAAATAAAGTAAATAATAAAACCTTTCTGGTCCGAGTGAGGATAAAACCCAGGCCCTCCACGTGGCAAAGCAGGTGTTCTACAATAGAGCCACGACATTCCTTGAAGCTTCTGTGGAAAAAGACACTTTATCAATGTCATGAAGTGGAAGGAGTCTCTGTAACACATCATATATTGCATGGCGGAAGCGTAGAATCGCACTAGGCATTAAAAGTATGAACTGTGCAATGAGTGGGTGTTTTAAAGGCTCACCTATTACGAAGTGCTCAGACATATTTAATCATCATCAACAGCAGTAGCGTCAACAAAGTGAACAGCTGCATAGATTTGAGTGTTGCCCGACCGACACGTGATGGGGCCTTCGTTGATTCGCAAAAGGATTAATATGGAGTAGTTGGCACTTAACAACTGTGCTTGTAGTAAGCATTCAAGAATACTTTGAAATGACCAATGTTATGTGCACAGCAATGATGGAAGCACTGCTCCGATTGCCCCAAAGTGCAGTATTTGTCAGTAATTGCTCTGAACCTGCTCCGAAATGACATTGTGGAAACTGAAAACAAGGAAGTTAAAGCACGCGACAATCCGCAGAGCCTAAATGAAAACAAAAGCAAGTGGTATACTAGAATATTGACAATGCTGCGCATATTCGAATTTTGTGTATATATCTGATGTAGTAATGTAGTTGTATATTTCTATCTTACAAGCAGACTATTTTGGTGAAATGGGTGCAAGACTTCCGAGTCGTAGCCGGTGCTGTGACAACTTCGACATGCGACTGATTACATTTAGCACGTTCATTAGCTTAGATTTTTTTGTGTCACAAGAACAAGCATTTTAAATCTCTTAATTTAATTAGCTTACTTTATTTACGAAAATTTCAGTTCTGGTTACCTTCACAAAATATGAAAACAACACTTAGTGTTCAAAGACTATCCATCTGCCTAATTATGATTCTTGCAATTGGCTGTGAATAATATGTGCAATATGTTAATTAACAAATATTATATGTAAGAGGCTTAAATTATGCATTAAACTCCAGGAGTCGTTTGTAATATTTTGCTATCTCCTCTGAAAACACCAATAGCTGCTTCAGGCTTTATTTTTTTCTGCTCCAAAAACAATCAAGGCTGCTCCAAAGCAGCATTTCTCTTGCTCCAGAAATCAAAATGTCACTTCTATCACTGGCACAGTCATTCGTTTCCTTACAGCATGGCTGAGGTATGCTCAGAGAACCAGTACAGGCCAGCAATTGAAAAGGCAATGCATGCAAGATATGATTATGCTATCGTGTTCTGCTCTTAAAAGCAAAGCTCAAGAATTCTCTATATTTTTGTACTTCTACACAAGCTCTGTAATTATATCCTTCCTTTTGTTGATGAAAAATTGCTTGCCAAGCTTGTTTTCAAACATACAGCTGATGAGCTGTCAAAATTTTCTGTTAAGATGGTGCAGCACAGAGAGAACAGCCAGGATACACAGAGACAACGAAAATGAAATGCTTACTGCATACTCATGCTTTACACCTCAAAGGGTTAAACATTATTTAGTGAGAGACCGTATCAGACCTGTGAATGCATACCACTCTGTATTTGACATCACGTACCTGCCTTCACATGCTGGTACTGAAAAGCGAATGGTGATTCTTGTGCACGAAAATCACTATTGCAATGGCCACTTCATGTTCCTGAAAGCTGTAGAAGCTTATGGCAGGGTCAAATGAAGAAGCAACCACTGGTTCTGCATGGTTTCCGACTTGTTATTCCAGCTGGCCAAAGGAAAATATTAGCAACTGTCTTAAAGTGAATCAAATTTAGTGAAAACAGCTCACAGTGGCACAAAAATAAACTTCCATGAATAAACCAGTAAGCACAGCTAACGTGGAAACAGCTAAGATGCAGAGATATTTTACAAGAGAAACTAACAAGGAAAGAGACATGGTGAGAAATAGATCCTGCCTTCCTTTAACAGTTATCCTTGCCTTAACTGTAATATCGTTCTTCCTTATTAAGAGGGTGCAGATGCTTTGTTGGTATGTGGGTAGCTGCTTTTTGAGAACTACTTTTTCCAAGAATTTAGAAAAAAAAAATCATTAAAGTGCATGGCAAACTATTCATATACGTCAATTTTGAACTATTACGGGAGCACATGTGGAATCAGCTAGAGAGGCAGGCACACTCTTGTGATGGAACGTCGCAAAAGTGAAGGTCAAGGGATGAAGCAACACAGTAATCAAATATCAAGTTCTCGATCAAGAAACAAACAACACAAGCGACATTCCCATACCTTTTGATTGTGCGACAAAAAAAAAACTCGGAAAAACTATTATGGGATAACAAAGGAACAAACAAGCATTTGCAGCTACGCATGTTATGGGTTCTGTAAATCTGCTCTAAACTTGCAGATGGCACATGTAGGTGAGAAAAAGTTCAGTAGTAATTGCAGTGGTACATCTGTAAAATGGTGAAAGTTACCGGGCTGAACTGAACCTCATGAAGTACCTCATGTCTGTGGAGGTGTGTCACCCATATTGAAGGTAAATGCATAATCTAGTGATGGTACATTAAAGAGAACACTTTTACAAGTTTTACAGTCTCATGATCCAAGGAAAGCTTGTTTTTAGAGGTGCACCTTACCGAACACGAACTGTTGAAACAAAGTTACAGGTGCATTCCCACCACGGACTAACATGTGTCCTTAACATGAAAGAAAGCAGTCTTCCTACTCAAAACTATAATTCTTTTCTATTAAGATGTATTCTTGTCACTGTATGCCTGCACGCTAGCAGTTTGGCGTAACCAGCAGTTGCAATTATTATAGGTTACCAGCTGGTATCTAAGGACCTGCTCAGTTTTTTTTTTCCTTAATAAAAGCATTGACACTTCCATTACATTCAGTTCACGTGCCCTGGATATTACGCATTACTATTTTGAAACTCAATCACAAGCACTGGCTGGATAGTTATAGCCGGTGTCACATGGGCATTTTTGATAACGATCAGGGTCGACCTGGACCAGATTTCTTGATCACGATATACAATCATTGCTGCTACTCGGTTCACACTAATCCGGATCGAGTTTGGCGCAGCAGTCAGTCAAATTGCGATCCGGGAGCTAAATCACAGTGCACAGATCGCGATTACTAGTGACAATGAATCAGCACACAATACAGATCGAGCCTGATCACAATAAAATTTGCCCGTGTCACACCCGTGCGACGATAAGCGCGGTGCTTTCGTTCATGCCAATTCGCTGAACACTGATACATAATGTCAAGAAAACGCATCTGGTGCTGTCTTTGGAAGCTCTCGAAGCGGTAGACGGAAGTAAAAAAAAAGCACGGACGTTAAGTGACGACACGGCAGGGCTACACATCTCGTCGGCAGATCATGTATAAATATACATTTTTTTTATATAGGCACCGCACCGTCCGCCAGCAACATCAATAAACCTCGCGGCCGACAGCTAGGGGCGACGGGCCATGCCTGAACAATTGACTCTCTCTCGCGCGCGCGCCAACCAGACAGCAACAAGATCATGACCTACTACACTCCTGACCTGCCCAGAGAGCACCTCTTCCAGCGCCCACGTTCTAGTTCATACCTTCTGCCGCTAGGGCCGTCACCTACGAGCGGCGTGGCGCTAGGCAGCACCTGTTCGCTGACGTCACCTTCACTCTTTGTAGTCAAATTTTAACCAACAAAGCACTCGTAGTGCGAATTTATGATCCACAATTTAGAAATATCCAGAAATAATAATACTAAAAGACATTCAGAATTTTTTTTGCAATAAAATGCACGCGACAACGCATAGGCTGTCCAAAATCATGTAAATCCACGGGTTTCCACGTTTGTCAACCAGTGTGCTATAAATTCTTAAGCGCACTGAACAGCTTACTTGACCAGCAATGTATGGGAAGAAATAGTCACATATATGCCGACAGTTCACCACAGAAAGCAGGCATTCTTATACCAGCGCCTACAAAACAACCGTAAAGAAGCAGACGAACAGGTTATAGGTAGCGCCACCTACGGCGAGCGATTGAACGAGAGCGGGGACACGCGCTCCCATAGGAACCCCGCTATCTGAACAGGTCAGGAGTGTAGTAGGTCATGAACAAGATCGCCTAAGAATAAAATGTCATCGCGCGTGTTCCTAGACAGTACCTAGGCATAGGGAGAGGTTTAACGAACACGCGGGGCGAAAGCTTCCCCAAATCCAAGTTACCCGGATAGGTTCTGTGAGAAAAGAAAAGCTCGCAATCGATGGCGTCATAGCCAATTAAATCAAAACTCAACAGAAAATGGCACAGACATTAAGTTTATATTGTTATTTTTAAAACTAGTTATGTGCATTGTACCTTAATAAATGTTGCGGTTATGTGTATTATTATGCGATTGTCTACTAATGTCGCTACTAGCGCTACCAAACGACCAGTCGTTCAATCTTTTTCGTAACGTGTCCCGGATTGCGCTGAAATTTTCCTTCTCGACGCATGCGCTTATGTTCGTATATCGGTCGCTGACGGTCGGATGATCTAGGCCTATTGGGCCGAAGAAACGAAGATAAATAGACATATCGATACATATTTCGTTGTCTAGGTCCTTCACGAAGCACGGGAGAAAATGAGCAAGCAAGTCCTACAGTTGGAGCCTGACTCCGAGCTCCACTTCAAAGGTAGTACCACTCGGCTGAAGTACGCTTTTCGAGCAGGACATGCGGGGGCCATATTGACGGCCAGCGTCTGCTTTACGGTTTCGCTGAACATATTTCGCTTTGTTGGCGCCAAAATATGCCCGGCATGCGTGTGAAGATACTTGACCTGGGGATAGGAAACAAGCTGGTACTACTGCTTTTGCTGGTATAGAGCTGTGCTCTTCCTTGCTTGCATGTCGCCTCTATAAAGAACTTGTGAAACTCGTCCATTAGCATTCTTAATTCTTTCGAATTCCGCACCGCAGCGTGGTTTGTGAATGTTCATTTTATTATCGAAGTGGCGAGACTGAGTAGGACACTTTCAGCCTCGCTTACATTTGTGGGAGGGGACATCAAGGGGCCCGTCGGTCGGCGCTGCCCCTTCGTCCTATTTTGTTCCTCCATCAGATCGCTTAGTGCTGCGCTTGCTTATGATATGTGGTCTGGGGCCTGTAATTCTTCGTCTACGTGGATAAGTAATCGAAGCTCTCGTGGATTACGATATTTCCTGCTACAAGGAAACAAATTAGTAGGTGTCATGCGTAAATCGCGTATTTGTACGCTTTCTTGCGCGACCTCACTTGTTTGACCAGGTAGCCTGCTGAACCAGTCGTTGTGCCCTGTAGTTGTGTATAATTATAAGGTATGTGAAGTTCTGTGCGATTAATGTTGCAGTGTAATATACCAAGCGCACCGCTCACTTCCGTAAGCTGGCGCTGAAGTCTCCGGCGTGGCAGAAGACTGCTTGGGGTGGAGGGCGAACACGCAGCCGTTTGCAGCGACGTTGATGTCCTATCGCATTTGATGTTTTAGGGTGTGGACGTCTTCTGGGCATTGACAATGTCCAAAGCCGTCCCGCCCCCTCACCTGTTTTCACCTCCCCGTTTCTCGGTGACTTTCCTGAATACATTATGCGAGAGACAACCTGCGACCGCAGCCCTTGACATTGCCCGTCCGTACTAACCGCCGAGCTGGAATGGAATAGCCGACGGCGCCGGTCTTCCATATGAAGCACCATAATGCGACCTTGACACGTACCGCCTGCCGGCTTTTAATGTGTACGGCGCATTATGCTTTGCTGTCTGTCATGCGTCAATGAGGCTGCTGTGCGATTCAAAGTTGACACCCTATGTAATGCTTCCTCATTTGCATGTCGAGTTTTTAGTTGACTTCTGGTGCCCAGAAATGTGGTGTCCACTGTTAGTCTCTCATTAACTAGATTTCCCTTGCAATGGAAGCTATTGTATGTGTAACACGAAAATGAAACATGACTTACTCAATTCTGTGATGCGACTTCTTGGGGAAAATATGTGACCAAAAATTGGTAATCGTGTGCCCTCATATAGGCATGAAATTCAATGTAGTAAATTAATGTGCTCTGTAGTTAACAAAACTTCCTATGGGTTGCACATACTTTCAAAATGTTGAGACTACTTCCCTCCCAACATACTTATAAACCTTTACTATGCATTTGTTCACTCTCACATTAGTTACTGTTAAGGGATCTTGGGTTGCACATACAAATTCATGTAACCAGTGGTCACACGTCAAAAAAGAGCTCTCTGTAATATAGGACCTTACACTTTGCACACCAAGAGCAAAGGTTTATTTAAAAGTGTCAGTATTCGCAATCTGGTGGCATACAACATTGCCTCTCATGCATAAAATAATCAATGAAAAACTTGTCATGACAAGACTTGCTTCACCTCTCACTGCTATGAATGTATTGCATTATCGTTTTATCCTACCTTAGATAACTACTAATTATGGTCACTATACACTGAACCTTTAAGGTACATCTCTTTGGAATAAGCTTGATTACAACCTAACCAGTACAACACAGTTAAATACATTCCTAAAAAAAGCTAAAGCACTACCTTATTGACAATGTACTGGCTTGCAGTTTCCTTTTTTTTTCCTTTTTACCTTGTAAGATGAATTTTATTAAAAGGTATTATTGGAAAATTTAATTTGCTCACATTTACTTTTGTAATACACACGTTCTGCATAATTGACACACTTCTGTTTCTGTTTGAACCTATTGCATTATGTATATTAACATTATGTACATTAACAGCTGGTATAGTTGCTTTTTACTAGATACTTTCGTTAGGGTTCCTTCAACAAATCTGTTGGGTCCCAAAAGTGTGTTTCTTTTTTATAATCAATCCATGTCCTTTGTTAAACTTTCAACAGGAGCCATAAATCACTTAAGTTTATGGTTAAATGATACCTGAAAAATTGCATGCAATGACATTCCCACTAATCATTGTGTAAGTGCTTCATTATGATGATATAATTTACTTGCAAGTACATATTTGAAACCGGCTACTTTCACATAGTTTTGGGCTTTTGTTTAGTCGTATCACATAACTTGTATAAATATTAAACCTTCCTGAAACCATCATTTAATTGTGATTACCTGCTGCTCTAATTTAGCACTATTATTGGGTAGGTTCTTTATGGAAGGTTCATCCCTTGCACGATCGAAGAAATACTGCAATGAATAGTCTGGCCTCAAGCATAAAATTTTTCTTCGGTGGTGCAGGCGGTCATTGGTTAAGTGCATGTGTGTGTGTACACACACGCATGTTACCTTCACTTATTTGCTCAGCATCATCTCGCCCTGGCTATTGTACTTGTGTGGTAAAGCAATATCATTTCCCAGAGTTAATTTCTATATTGTCAAAAGGCAGAGACAGCGTCCTTATGGTCATGATTTAGTAACAATGCCTTCCAGTGGCATATCTAGCTGCCCTCTGCCCTTGAAAAGCATCATTCAGGTGTGTACCAATACCAAACTTTTCGTGCTTTTTGCATAAGTGTCTTGTTAAAGCACCGCTAAGTTTGATATTCATCATAGTCTTACCTTGAAAAAAATTTGCAGTAAATGCATTATTACAGATAAGTGCTAGCTCATGTGCTCTGGGGGAATTCTCTTTATTGCTGTGGTAAGAGCAAGATGTATCAGTGTACTTGCTTCTAAATTATCCTTGCAAGGATGCTTCCATTTTTTGTGTGTGTAGTGTTGTAGTTCTAACGCATCATGGCAAGCACTGCTTTCAAATTATTCCATAGCTTATAGACTGGGTGTATTGGCTTAGTTATAATATTTCAGACACTTGTAATCTAAACAACTAGCTAACACATGAGTAGTCTTGCAGTTCTAACATTTTCTGGCAAGTACTGTGCCAAATCTGTCCATTTTTCTCTGTGTTCTTAAGGGTAACGGAAAAGTCACTGCGCAGATTGGCCAATTCACGTGGCCTATATGTAAGCCACTTGTAATTTAGCTAACATAAATTGTGTTTGCATAGTAGGCCCTATACATGGTGGGACCATCTAAGCTCAAATTGTATAACATTAAAACTTTGATATTGAATTTTGTGGCAAAAACAAATATAGAAAGGCATCACATTATTGGCAGTGCTGAAGTCTTAATTGATTTGTGTGTTTCTCATAATCATATCGTGGTTTTAGAGTGCGAAACCCCTGATATTATTATTATTATTATTATTATTATTACTATTATTATTATTCAGTGGTCTGGTGGCTAAGATACTCGGCTGATGACCCGCAGGTCGCGGGATCGAATCCCGGCTGCGGCGGCTGCATTTTCGATAGATGCGAAAATGCTATATAGGCCCGTGTGCTCAGATTTGGGTGCACGGTAATGAACTCCAGGTGGTCGAAATTTCCGGAGCCCTTTACTACGGCATCTCTCATAAGTGTATGGTGGTTTTGGGACGTTAAACCCCACATATCAATCATTATTATTACTACCATTAAGTGATTGATTTGTGGTGTATTTTCTAATCCTATGGAATGGAGGCGTTTTTCTGCCATTACTCAGTGAATGACGACAATAATGTTGAGCCTTACCTCACAGCATGGTTGCTGCATGTGTTCACTCACCATTAGTTACAACATAACTTAACTTCCAGTTTCTGGGATAGCCATGCCGATAGGTTTTAACTGGTGCTATCCATTGTGTGGGCTAAAGGGGGGCCTAGTCATCAGGCCCTATCACAAATGTTATATAGAGAGGGTTTTACTGAAGTAATTCTTAATGTGGCCAAGACGGGAGAGGCACTGTTGGCACTCTTTCCTCCCTTTTCCTGGGCTAGCATCTGTCACTGGCATACCTTCCCAAGGTTAAGAGCTAAAAGTGTAGTACCTTGCTGGGAAAATAGCTATTTTTAAACTCTTCAGCGGCAGCCTTTTTGCCCGCATTCAGATGAACAATTTAAAAGACATTTTACAGCTGTTACCCCTCAACATCACAACTAGAAACATTTTATCAGTGTTACACATGTGTACCAAACAGCCATGTCCTCCTAATTATATGAAGGGCCTTGAGTATCTCTTTTTTGGAAGCATCAGCATTGTGGGCCAAGGGAACGCCATGCAGAAAAGGAAGTGTCTAGACGCTTTCCATTTAATTAACCAGAAAAAAGTGTGCTTGTAACATATCTGTAAGCTACAGTGATAGATCTTTGTTGTCTAGTGATTATTAGTTGAAGTTATTACTAAACTCTTTTGAAATAGATAATGTTCATAGACCAACAGCTATCTGAAGGATTTATGCATCCTACTTGTCTAATAAAGTTGCTAGGACCAGTCTTGTCCCATCATCTTTGTCTTGTGCTCCATGTTTTACATCTTTAATCACTAACATGTACCAAATGGCCCAACTCGTCACCTCCTTGTTCTCTCATGGGCCGGGGCTGACGTAATGAGTCATGTTCGCATGCAGAGCCCCACCTTCCTAGAGCCTGTTCTATGTACCATGCTCTCTAAGTAGGAGTGCTCAAACTTGGTGAGGTGCTCTTGTGGCTGTTTACTGTTTGTGAGGTATAAAATTTATAACAATGCTGGTCAGCACCAGAGAATTGTTGAGTAGCCACGTTATTATTGTTTGCTGGCATGGTGCTTTAGGCTGCCTTGTCTCGGCACTGGCACCACTGTTTGTAAGGACACCA